TAAGGACATAAACTTCAACCCCTTCGTCCAGCCAGTCCCAGCAAGGCTCAGAGGGTCCCTCCCTCCTTTTTCACTACCTTCCTCCAAGCTCTTACTTTGCTCTCGGAGCCTTTCCCACCCACCTCCTTTCCCTCTTTCTTTCCTTCTCTCTATCTCCCTTCACCTGCCACGGTCCCTCTCCCCCGCGCTCGCTCTCTCTCCTTTCCAACCCCTATCTCTCCCAGTCCACCTTAACTCGAGCTCCGCCCCGGACCCCGGTCCAGCCCTCTGCCGCTGCTTCGCCCCGCCCCCTGCACTCCACCGCCCGGCCCGCCCATTGGCCTGAACACCCGCCCATCCCAAGTGGGTCCCGCCTTGCATGAAACCAGGGAGGGGGCGGGGCCGAGGGGCCGGTCTGAAACCTGAAGGGGAGGGGGAGGGGGCAGTGTCCGCAGCGGCCTGGGAATGGAGCACCCCCCCTTAGGGGCTCCCTCTTCTCCAAGAGGGGCTTCCTTAGGGTCAGCACCTCGAGAGGGAAGGGTATGAGAGGTTAAGGATAGGCTGGGTGCGGGTGAAGACCTAGGGTCTTGAGGGAGGGGGTCCCGAGAGGGGCTATAATCAGGTCAGGGCCCCAGGAGGGCGGGGGAGGGGGGACACTCGGCCTTCAGCTTCGGCCCCTGCGCCCCACCCCCCACAGAAGGAGCGGGGGAGTTGAGGCTGCGGGCACCCTATGTCCCTCCCCACGCGTGATGGCGCCCCGCGGGGAGGGAACGCCGCCTGGGGGCAAGAAGCCTCTGCGCTCCAGCCGGTGCCCGCTGCGGCCTTGGCATTGTCAGAGGGGAGGGGCCGTGTCCTCCAGGAGGAGGGGGAGGTGCGCTCACGCTCCTGCTCTCCGCCTCCATTCTGCCGGATCCCTAAGTGGAGAAACTGAGTCTCCACGACCGAGGGACTTCTGGACACGGCTTCGCTCAGAGACCCAGGTGGCGAGGGGGCCTGGGTGTCAGGATGTTTGTGTGTGTGGCTTGCGCGGCGCGGGGGGGGACGGGCGTGGGTACTTCGGTCCCCGAAAGGTAGCCTGTCTGGGAGTTTTCCAGCTGGGCCTGCGGCGCTGCGTACCCCAAAGGGCCCCTCCCACCAGTGTCAAACGGAATCAAATCCGGCTCCCTCGGGCTAGGTTCGGCTTCGCAGCAGCCGGCCAGGCCGAACCGGGCCGGACTCGCTTTCTCTTCCCTAACCCCCTCCGCAGGGGGCCTCCCTCCCTTTCCAGCAGGTGGCTCCGCGGGACACCAGCTCAACCTGTTGGACCACAATGGGCGGCGCCAGGGGGGCCCTGGCCCTCACCCGGGCTGACCCGGGATCCCCGCGCAGGGGGAGGGGCGGAGTCCGGGTCCCTCCCTCCCTCTTGCTCCTTCTCTCTCCGGCCGTGACTCAGCCTCGGGGCCGCTGCCCTGCGCCCTAGCCAGGGGCGGAAAGTGTGAGGCGCCCCTGAGGGCCCAGGCCAAACCAAACAGCCCCCCACCCTAGACATTATCTCACTGGAGAATTAGGGGGGCTATAGGAGGGAGGGGTTAACAGCAGGCGTGGGGCGCTCCGGCTCGAATAATCCGCTCCAGGTTTTCCTATGGTCCCTGTCCCCCCTGGGTCCCGAGGCCGGTCAGTGCTCCGGGTTTTCATCTCGGCCCCGCCGGACAGATTCTGGTCCTTAGGGCCGGGAGCGGGTGGGGTCCAGGCCTGGGGTTTCCCTTCCTTCTTCTGCCGTCGGGGTCGCGCTAGCCAGGGGAAGGGCCGTGACAAGGGCAAGGCGTTGGTGCCAGAAGCACAAGTGAAACCGAGAGGGGTCTGCTTCGGGGCGGAGGTTGCACGGCCGAGGAAAAGGATGGTGCGGGGAGGGGGGTTGGGAGGAAAAGATTGGCTCAGGGCCTCCAGAGGCAATAGAAAGGCGGGCGCCTTGGCACCAGCACTAGGGAGCAAAGATGCGAAAGGCTCACCCCTGCCCGCCCCCCACCTCCGGGGGTCGCGTCTGGCAGGACACCACCCGAATCTTTCTGCGGCTAGATTGCCACTCCCCACTTGGGTCTGAGCAGCCTCTGAACTTGCTGTTAGTTCTGGAGTGACCGACCCTCCCTCCCATATTTCTCTCTTTTCCAGGGCTGGTGATTGAACCCAGGGCCCTGCGCAGCGAGGCAAGCGCTCCACCACTGGGCTACATCCCCAGCGCTTGCTCTCTCTTCTGGTACAAACAGCTCCCTCTCTCAGAGGCGGGAACCCCAACTTGAATTCAATTCCCACCTATCCCCCCAACTCTGGACTCTTACCGCGCCAAACCTGAGACCGCCGCAGTAGAGGAACGCTGCCTGGGGGCCCGCCCCCTCCCGTGGAATCCCGGCGGTCCCACCCCCCAACCCCGGCCCAGGGCCTGGAACTGGGAGCCGGAGGGCAAGTGTGGAGCCTGCCGGGGCCTCCTGAAGACAGGGGAGCGCCTCAGATCCGCACGTTCAGGTTTCAATCTTCAGGAGACCAGCTAGACCTTAATATTTCAGGCAAAGTAGCAGGAGGTGGGTCAGTACCTAGAGAGTGAGGTTCCTGCCCTGAAAAGGATGGAAGTCCCAGCTGGGAGGACCTGGGGCCGGGGACAGCGACTTCAGAGTGGTGGCCAGTTGCCTGGACTGGCTGGGCCACGTGCGCAGAAGAGTAGAAGCAGAAAAGTTAGACGCTTGCAGAGCCTGGGGGGAAAGAGGCTTCGGCGGCTGGAGGGGCGAGGCTCTGCCGGGCGGGGTCTAAAGCCAGTGGGTCTGGGGGCCTGTTTCGGAATGTGAGGGGCTGAGCTGGAGCGGAGAGTCAGCCTGCGCCTGGCGCCCACCTCTTCCCCACTACCCCACCCCCCTTCCCCTGGCTGCCTCCGCTTCCCTCGAAAAACCCGCCGCCCAGGAAACCGCTGGGGGCGCTCAGACCGCAGTCCCCCCACCCACCATCCCCCATCTCCCCCACCGCGACCGCCCAACCCACCTGAAGGGGCCGTGGCTGCCAGGGGTACCCCCCTCCCGCCGACTCCCCCCACACCTGCGGGCAGCACTATTTATAACTCCGCGCCTATTCCGGGCCTCTCGGCTGGAGCCGGCTGCCGAGCTGTGCTAATCGCCGCCGGGATCTCTGCGCCCCCCAGGGCCAGGGGAGGTAAATTTAGCTTCAGGAAGCTCCGGGGAACATTTTCCAAAACTCCACGTCCCAGAGAAGGCGAAACAGAACCCCTCTGCGCTCAGCCTCCCTCCGGCGAGCCACTAGGGGGCGCAGATCTCCGGGTCCGGAACCCAGCCTGCTAGGAGTTAGGGTCGCTGCTTTGATCCTGGGGTAGGTAAAGCATAGAGACGCGTGCGCTCTGGAAAGTTACTGGGTGCCGGACTAGTCATTGGCAGGAGATATGGGTATGCTCCGAGGCCTCCAAATCTGCAGTCTGAGAACCACTGAAAAAGGGAGTGGGGACTTAACGTGTGTTGAGAGGGAAATAACACATGTAAACGAAATGCAAATAAGAGCCTAGGCCCTTGGGGTCTGCGCTACAGGGTGCCAGCAATGTTTGCCACACTTTTCTTTTTTATTTTTTTGATTTCATTTTTTGGTACCCAGGATTAAACTCAAGGACATTCAACCATCCCCAGCCCTATTTTGTATTTTATTTAGAGACAGGATCTCACTGAGTTACTTAGCACATCTGGCTTTGAACAGATCCTCCTGCCTCAGCCTCCCCAGCCGCTTGGATTATAGTCGTGTGTATTTTTTTTTTTTAAGTACTGGTGATTGA